TGTTCAGAGCTGCTTGTCCCTCTCTGCACCCACCTTGACTCTGCTGGGGGGGGTGGCCAGGAAAGAGACGCCAGTGTCACCTCCGTGCCCCATTTGCTCCCCCTTACTGGTTACCAGTGGGGAGTTTGCGGTAAGTAAAGCCTGTCGAGCAGCTGAGACACAGCAGACTCACTGCAGATCGGGTGATGCTCCCCCGGGTGCTGCTGCTGCTGCAAAACTACGTGGCACCAGTGGCCCAGCCATGGCTTGGCCCCACTTACCTGGGGGAGCTTTCTGCCAGCCATCACCCAGCATCACTGCTGCTGCTCAGCCCCACGATGCAGCAGCGTTGTGGCTTCAGACTCCCCGTTTGAGAGCACGAAACTCCAGCCCCCAGGCTGGGGCGTGGAGCTCCCTGCCGTGTTTGGAGTCCTGCAGGAAGTAAGCAAGGAGATAGTGATAACATTTGCTAGGCTATTTTAGTAGCTCCCTGAGCTCAGCAAACAATGTACTAGGGGGAGGGGACTGACTATATGACTTGGTACCATCACTCACATTTTCCTACTTTTCTGCTTGTCCCTGTGGATCTCTAGACTTCCCCATCTCTTCCTCGATGCACTGAGACATTTGAGACACCTGGTAACCCAGCTACGGTGTTTGATCAAAGCCTCAGCTGAAACCCAACCTAGCCCTTTGCGGCTCCTGAATCATTCATGCTAGAACTGGCCACACCTCCCATGGCAGGGGCACCCTAGCTGACGCCCTGTGGAAGGATGGCTGTGGCATCAGAGTTTCTCCAGTTCTCAGCTAAAGAAGCAAGCTCTAGCAAAGATTTAGATAAGAGGCTTGGGGCAGCTCAGCCTTCTGGGAAGCTGGAGCAAAGAAGGGCTTTGCTGCGGTATTTGGGGCTTCTACATACTTTTTTTTGTTCTGGATGGGCGAAGAAAAATATGGCCCAGGTGGTTCCAGACAGATGGACAGGTGCTGCTGCATTTTAGGAATTAACTTATGAAGGGGGCAGGCTAAGACAGGATCCATTGCTTGGCCTCTGCTCTGTACTGGGGTGCATTTTCACAGAAGTGATTTCTTTCCAGCTGCCCCTATTTTTCTGTCCCTCTCCTCTTGGTACTTAGAGGGAAGATTAATTAAATACAGAATAAACGAGCTGTGCTTTTCTGTGAAGAGAAATCCTCTCTGGAGACCAAGGAAGCTGCCTGCTTGCCTTGCTGCTTTCTCATCCCCAAGCCAAGGAAAAAGAAAACCAGCAAAGGACAAGGCAACTGCCCCCAAAGTGTTTTCTGGTTTACTGAGCACCCCGTGACAGAGAAGAGGCACTGGTATGAGGCAAGGAGCATCTGACTGCTGCAGGAGGCTGCAGATGTCCAAGAGGGACAGGGACAAACATCTTCTTGTCCAGAGCTCCCACTATGAAGTTTCGTATGTGAGAGGAGTTGGGGAGGGCCTCACATCTGCACCAAACACATAAAAGTCCAGTTACTTCCATGCTCTGCACCACGATAACAGTAGAGGATGCAAAGATCCTCTGTTAATCACATCCCAGAGCCTTGCAGATGAACTCATTCATCTCTTCCAAGCCCGGTCACTATTCTTGTCAAGCCTTGCAGATGAACTCATTCGTTTCTTCCAAGCCCGGTCACTATTCTTGTCCAGTAAATGCAACAATTTCTCTGAGCATGTGGAGGAAAGAAAAAAACTTCTGAGATTTTTGGGCATGAGCTGCCCTTCAGCAGCCTGCTGGCACTGAGATTGTTCCAACTCTCAGGGCAAAGCTGCAAAGGTGATGTGCCGAGGGTCCCGTGGCCAGGCTGGATTGGCTGTTGAGGTTGTGTGTGCACCAGGGTCTGGCACTGAGAGCAGTCACAGGAGGAGCTGGTGGCTCATGGCTGGGCTGGAACCGCCACAGCTGAACAAGCAGAATTAATCTGCCTCAAAGCTGCTGCTGACAGCAGGTCTACTTTAGCAAACCCTAAGCTGAAACAGGCTATTTACAAGGTGCTAGCAAAGTTCATCTTGCACAGACTAAACCCGTTTTAGTTTTGGAGAAAATATTTCTTTGGAGTGGCGTGGCCAGGGATGCGTGCAGAGGCAGGGGAGATGTTGCCCAGGCAACACAGTAATGCGAGATGCTGCTGCAGCATGTCCTTGGCTGTGGGAAGGCAGAACTTCTCCCCAGCTGCAGAACAGAGCCCATGGTGATGGACAACCCCTTTAAGCCTAGCTAGCCAGTCTGTACTGCTTACCTGTTTGTAGATCGGCATTTGCAGCCGTGTGCCATCGCCATGTGCAGCACTGGCTCGGGAGGTAGCTTGTGTCCTCTGTAATGTCCCTCTCTCCCTGCAGCTACTGGGCTGATGATTGGCTGCCTGATCTACCCCGACGGCTGGGACTCGAGCGAGGTGAAACGCATGTGCGGGGACAAGACAGACAAATACACACTGGGCGCCTGCACCGTGCGCTGGGCATACATCCTCTGCATCATTGGCATCCTTGATGCTCTCATACTGTCCTTCTTGGCCTTTGTGTTGGGGAACCGGCAGGACAACCTCCTCCCGTCTGATTTCAAAGTGGAAGGTAAAAGCAGCTAGGGCTGAACTCTGAGGCCCCATCCTGCTGCAGTATTTCAACCCCACAGCTCAATGCTGTTACCTAGGAGGGTGATGGCTTCCTCCCTGCCATAGGCATCACATTGCTTCGTAGGGATGGAGAACAAGGCAGGAGCACAAATTAACCCAGACTACTTTTCACAGGCCTGGGGCTTTCTCCTAATCCTGTTTTAAATTGTTTCAGCCGTTTCTGAAAACAAACCTGGAAAACACCACATTAACACTGCAATTATCTTTTTATTTTACAGAAGAGGGAACCGAGTGACAGAGCTGATCACTACGTAAGTGATGCTTGCAGAGACTTTTAATATTTCTTCCCAGCATACAGAATGTTACTGTTCTATTTTGATTACTAAAGGAGTGACAACTGTATAGATTTTGGCACTGTAAGTCACAGTGGTTTGAGTTGTGATTAAAGAGAAAATTGTCTTTGCTTTGCCTCCCAAAATTGGGAAAACATAAATCCTTGCCAAGTGCTGAAAAAAAAGAAGCTTAAAATTTGGTCATACTCCATTTGGCAACAGCTGACTTATACTTTATGTTCCCAGGGACACCCAGAGCTCTTCTTCCAGCACCCCTTTACTTCAAAGTGACTTTTCTAGGAGGTTTAAACTTACCAACTTCTGTGGATTTTCTACAACTGTTTTCTTCACCCATGGGGCTGCTCTTGGCTCACAGCTCTCATGGAGTTTATTTGATGGGAAGAGCCCAAACTAGGGTTTTTCCAAGTCCATCAGCAAGAGGAAAGGGATGTCAATTTGCTGCTTTTTGCAGGGTTTGTACACCTTCTTTCAAGGAAATTACTTATGAATAAAAAAATACCATTAGTGTTTTGGATTTTGTGCTAGTCTCCTCAGGGCAGGGGAAACCCTCTGCTGCATCCCAGGCTGCCCTTTTACTTGAAAAAACACTATGACACAGCCAATTCCTAGCTGAGCCACTAATCGGTTTTCCACTCTGGGCAACAATAACTAAACACAAACCTTTGAAAAAAGGCACCTTTCTTGGAAAAAACAAACAAACAACAAAGCCAAACCCCAGTGTGCTGTGCTCCAGCAGGCCTATAACAGCTCTTAACCTAAAATAAGCCTGCATTATGATCTTCATTTCTACTTGCTGTAATTTGTTGGTTCCTGCAGCAGTCAATTCAATTTGGTTCTAACAAATACCTTCCAGTTTTATGCTTACATCTAAAAAAGAGTTTAAGGTTTAAAGACTTGTGGTAGGGAAGATAGCAGAGATATGACAAAGAAAAACATATTTTAGAATGGAAAAATTCCAGCAGTTTTCCTGCTATTTAATACTCAATCTTCTCTCCTTTCTAAACAGATCACAGTACCAGCAACAAAATCTGCACTACACCATCTCCCTCTGTCTTAATCTGGAAATCGAAACTAAGTGCTCTCTAGTGAAGTTCCATCCATGGGCTACTGACTCAGAGAGCAGATTACCAAGGGCATGTATCAAAGCTAGGGCTCAGTTATTAAATAATGTTTATTGTAGGGCTTTCACAAAGAATAAAAAAGACAAAACACCCAAGTAGAAAGAATAAAAATGTATTTTCCTTCAGCTTTTAGACTGACACAGCAAGTACAAATCCCTTAGTGTGAGCACTTTATGACAATTTGGAAATGTAACAAAGTCCAGCTGAATGAGCAGATGGTACAAGGCTGAATCATGACAGCTGCTTCTGCAGGTCTTCAACTCACAAGCTGGCTCTGGCCTTGGCTATCATGGTAAAAAACCTCCTCCCCCAGTCAGGGAAATCAGAGAGCAGGGAAGAAAGTCTGGGCAGGAGCTCTCTAAGAGTGCAGACCCCTTCTAGGAAATGTTCCTTTGTCAGCCAGTACATGCAGGACCAGGTGAGCTTTCAAGACCACAGGAATTGTTTGCCCTGCCAATGAATCTTCACAGTAAGTTGGAATCCAGTACTGTCTGTGGCTGTCCTGTAACAGATACAGAAGTGACCCACAACTGGAAAACTCCAGATGAAAGGGGAAAAAAAAGAAGTCGTCAAACCAGCAGTTAAAACTCTTTAGTATGTTACCTTCCTTTAATTTTATATAATATGCATAGAGAACCTGACCTACTGCTAAAGGAACATGCAGCATGATTTGCATAAATAAGCCCAATCAGGCTCTAATCCACAGAAACGTTTTTCAAGTGGATTAAATGACCCAGTTTATGAATGAATGATCCTTATGAACCAGAATTTCCAAACACACATACAGAAGTGACGTAACAGTGGTCTGGCAGCTTTGGCAATGTAATTGTCTTGGATAGCATCTGCATGGCCTCCAGCAACTGCTGTCCTCTGAAAGCTACCACGAATCCAAAGGCCTGTTTGGTCCAGGGTAAGGAAGTGCCTCTGAAGTCTCAGTGCTGCCACATCTTGCTTAGAGAACAGCAGGATGCACTGAATCTGTAACAGGATGGGCAAGTCTAGAAAAAGCCATCATAAAACTATCAAATGCCAGTGATTTAGCTTTTAATTAAAATTAACCTCTTTAACTCATTGATTAAACCCCTCCCCCTCTGAGAAGTTTACATAGAAACTCCATAGAACATTTTTTCACGGGGTAAATCTAGAAACAGCTTCTACTCCAGTATCTACATTTGAAAAGTCAGTTCTCTTCCACTTTGCTAGCTCTTTTTGTGCTAATGGCCCCAAAAAACAAAAGGAGGACCCACCCTGGGAAGTTATTTCTGAAAGCTTGCACCTGAAGCAAATTAAACGAAATCTTTACACTGCGACTTCAAATGTTGATTTTGAAAGTCCAGGGCTATAGCACAGCTGTGATACAGGTGCTGCCACCCCTTCCTTGGGAAAAAGTGAATAGTCAAAAATTAAGTCAGGGCAGACTGCATCAGTGAAAGCCAGTCTTTCACAGATACAGCAACCACCTCAAGCAAGGCAAAAAAAAGTGCCAGTAAGAGATAAAAACCCCCAAACTTACAGCTCACTATAATATTAAGAGTTGCTGGCAGCAAGGCTATCTCTCTGCAGACCAAGTGTGCACCCATCTGTATGCTGAAGATTGTGCGCTGAGTTGGTTCTGGCTTTTGCTTATTTTGCTTGTCACCTTTTATTCACAGGCATTGAAGTAGAAAACATCAAGTTCAGAAACTATTCTGACTATCAAGGGCACAAGGAAGGAAAAAGTAAAGGAACAGGGCACTTTGGAGGAAGAAAGGATGCTAAAACCTAGGTTTAAAAAGCTCTTTCAGAGGCAGCTAGAACTAAATAAAAGTTTGCAACTGGAAAACAAATACAGTAGACACCTAGAAAGTGATGGAGGATTTCAAGGTCTTTGCTCTACAAGGATCTGGCACCACCTCAATGCCATATGTTATTTCTCACCCCATCACTAGCTGCTGAATCAATAGTAGGAAATTGACTCCTGAGTCAGCGAGATAAAGCTCTCAGATCTTCACGTGGCCCTTATGAAGAAAGGATAGTTTAAATTTAGGTAAGGGAGCATATCCAAGCATGAGCGAGCTCACATCTGTAACACACGGTGCCTAACAGTGAGGAGACAGAGGAAGAACTTCATATTCTAGTCAATTAGTCTTTGGCAAAGCCCAATCAAGGCAAAACATGGATGAATCCCACTGGCTGAGGAGAGTCCCCATTAAATTCACACAAGCAAATTCAGCAGAACAGGTTAGATTTATCTATAATCTTGGAAGCCGTGAAGGAAGAACTTCACACTGGAAGTGAACAAGGAGGAAAAGGGATCTGAGAAAGGGCAGCTAGGTGTGTGTAGACTATGCTGTAAACCAGAGTGTAACGCCGTGGCATCGCATTGAAGCTTCTACGAGTTAAGCCAGGGGTGCCTGAGACACTCTGCTGCTGTAGCTCGTTTCTCTGGAATCAGCTCCAACATAGGTAGTAAGAAGTCTGTGAATGCAGCTGCCTCATCTTGGGACCACTCATATTTTTCCACCAACACTTCAAAAAGGCCCCACGGCTTCAGTTTGGTGATGTGCTTCAGATCACCTGAAAACCCAAGGCAGATAAGTTAAGTGCAAGACAAAGGAACAGAGCAGCTCAATAAATTAAGCTGAACAGCTAAACATGACAGACTGAATTCAGAAACTGTTGCAATAGTTGGGCATAGGGAATATAAAGTGGCAGGGCATGCTGAAGGGGGGATGTAAATTATATATCTATTCTACAGGTTATTTTGTCTGCTTTAGAAGACTGTTATAGAAATGTACTTCCTCAATGGATTCTTTTTTTGCCTCCTGCTATTTCAGATTCAATATCAGAAAATATTAACTTAATTAAACCACCAATTATACTGCTTGACATGAAGAATAAACACTGTGCCACTGACTTAGGAATACATGCAACGCATGCAGCACTGTTTGAGGAAGTAATACACTACTAACAAAAAGAGGGTTGTTTTTAGAAAGAAGTATTAAACTAGGTCAAAAACTACTTTACTGACAATACATTTCTGGGGTACTCACAGCTTTTATGGTAATGTGTGCTCTGAGCAACATGGCTTATGATGCAAGGCACTATTTAAGGTGATTAGCATGCTAGAAATGGAGTAAAGCTGTCTAGAGAAGACTTCAAAACTGAGTTACCAGCTCTAGTTGACAAAGAACAGCTAAATAAAGTCACATCAAGTTTAACGAAATACCTACTGTACTGGTTTTCTACCTGCTGCATTTGATCTACACCACGATGTCAAGTACTAGGATGTAGGGCACTTTTAGCAGTAAGACAAGAATGCCTTATACTTAGCTGCAGTTTTACTGATAAAGCCTTTCACAAAACAAAGACTTAAAAGAGGCATCTTTGCTGGCATCTACTTCTAACTGGCATTTCCAGCAAACACTCTTGTGTATTTGGGGCAGGGGATAGAGGGATCATGATATTTGCTTTGTTTTCTTTTACCTTTCTTGGTGAAAAACTCCTTGGAATATTTTCCTGCCAAAATGAGCTTGCGAGGTATTTTCCCCAGAAGTTCTATGATCAATGCAATGTGATCTGCATGTTTAAAAAAAAAAAAAGACAAAAAAAAGATGAGATGCATCCACACAAGACATGTCTATGCTGCAGCTTCCTGCTCTGGGATGTAAGGATGAAGACATTATCTATCTCCCTTAAAAATTACTTGGGAATCCACCTGAAATCAGATTACATTAAGTAATGACAAAGACAAGGGGAACAAAATAAGGGCAATCAGGGCATGATCAGTTTGAGACACAAGGTAAGAGGATCCAGCAGCAAGAAGAATGGGGAACACCAGAACAAGAACATGGACTCTGTTGCAGTGCTTTACTGCAGAGGCTTGATCACAGTTGGTGCTGATTAGGCTAAATCTTTTTGCAAGGAGCTTTTGCACTGCTAACTCACAAGAGAAGGCTCATTCTGAAGAGGCAACCATTGGATCTCATGTCCCATTTAAAAAGGAAAGACTTAGACCAACACACCTTCATCCCGTGAGTAATCTTCCCCAGAATGAGGCTCGAACAGATAGTCTCCTGTTGCTAACTCAAAGGCCTAAACAAACAAAAATGAGCACGTTAAATCGCTTCAAAACGGTGTAAGATGTGCTGCAGGTTGACTCTGCAAATTTATGTGGCCCAGAAGCAAAGCAGTGGGAAAGAATAACCTGCAAAACCCGAGTACACAGCTTACCATTGCAGCCTAAGATGTGCAAGGACTTTGGAACATTTGAACAGCTGCATTAAAAGCATTACAGGCACACCTATGATGGATTCTGGATCACAGTATAAAGCAGGACACCCATGTTAAACCACAAAGTTAAGATATCTCACATGCTTAGCTCTTCCTTTCCTCCTCTGCTCAACAGAATTTTATACAAATCCATAATGTTCAAACTCTAGTTTCTAGGGTTGTTTTTTTGGGGGGCTGGTTGTGGGTTTGTTTGGTTTTTTTTTGTACAAAGATTCTTCCCTCTCCTCAAATTTCAGATTTAGAGACATTTTTCAAACGGTTAATATCTGAACTTTTGTCTGCAGCTATGAAAACATGCTTTAAATGAGAAAAACATCATCATTCATTTCAACTCACCACTGCTAAGTTCTGTAACACAGCTATCCTTTATGTAGTCACTTTTACTTGGAACACTACTTCTGACCTTCTGTATTCTGAAGTTTTCTTTACGAACTGCTGTTGTCAAACTACTGAATTAGGCACATGTTCTAATTTTGGCCACATGCTCTCCAGAGACAACGTGACCCTATCACGTGTTCCTTTACCACATTCATCAGAATCGCAGCTTGTTTTCCCAGACAGCAAAAATGTCTATTTTCCAAGCTTAGAATATAAAAAGCAAGCTTTGACTTGCAGAGAAAACAGCCTAGAGACAAGGAGGCACATGCAGTTAAGTGACTAGACTGACCTTTTGAATCTCCATATTCTACATTAGCCAACTATTACAGGGACAGTTTCAGCCTCATCTCAGCCTTACCCAGATTATACATGATTCCAAACATGCAGAGGATGATTAAAATAAGGAATTATATGGAAGACATCTGTGAAACAGTGCAGATGCAGCAGAAAGGCTCTTTTTAATATAAAAAGATTTTGCCTTCAGGATTGCATAGTTGTCTTGTTTCTCCAGAAAGCACAATGGCCAAGTACAATCTTACTTGAGATCTCCTGGTGCTGTACAATAAAACTTTAAAAAGGAAAGCCATACATAGGGAAAAAAATAAAACAAACAACTTTACTATGGAAACACGGTATTCAGCAAGTCTGCAAGCTGACTGAACACTTCTAAGGGTTTTTTGCCAGGCTTGGCTAGTCACTCCACAGCTCAGAGGCACACGAGTTCCCCAGAGTGCTCAGCAGAAGCAGTAAAACCCCCAGCTGACACCACTCACCATGCACGCTGTGCTCCAGATGTCAGCAGGGGTGTTATACCCCGACCCTATCAACACCTCCAGGGATCGGTACTGTCTTGTCTGGATGTCTTCAGTGAAGTGCTTGTGCTAAATACAAGAAATGTTTTACCGAACAGTTAAAGGTTGTTTAGAAGAGGAAAATCAACAACCTGGAAGGCCAGAGGAGATCAAAGATCATTACCATTACATTTCATCTGCATTTTACATCCTCATTAACTATTTCCTTAACAGTCCTACAAGTGCCGTTTAAATGCGCTACGTGAGACACTCATCCTTAAGGAAAACAGTCCAGCAATTGAGAGGAAAGCAAGCCACAAAAATCTAAGGGAAGACTCCTAGAGAAGCTGCATGCCCAAGCTCAGCTCTCTCCTACCCAGTCATGAGAGACAGTCCATGACTCAGCCATCTTAAAACAGATAAGCAACACCAATGTAAGAGACCACCTTGCCAGACACTGCCAGCCTGATGTACAACTGCGAGTTGAGACTCTTCGCTCCCGGAAGATGTAAAGTCTTTTGCCATTTTAGAAGCCAAGTAAGAGACATTTCTTCTATTTGAAATGTCAAACATATGAAAGCAGCACAGCACAACTAGCAAAGAAAAAACATGAGTTTTATTGCACAAGTCTCTTTCATGTGCTCATGAATCCAGTGAAATGGTCTAATAAGCTACAGAACCAGAAATCAGCGCAACTGTTTGCAACTTTCTCAGTCTCCAAGAAAGCTATAAACTCCTTCAGAAGTTTCATGTAACACATGAAACACATGACAGTTCACAGGCCTATTAGAATCATTCTAATGCCAGTGAGGAGCCCAGAGCACAGACTGAAATCTTATGTTTAAAGGACCATTTCTTTCTTTGTGTCCCTGCTTCTCCCTCTTTTTCTGCAACATAGTTTCAAACTATCACTACTTTCACAGGCAAGTCTAAGGATCTATTTTACAGATTATTTTCCATCTTGGCATACTGTGAATGAATTTGCAGGTTTAAACAGTCAGTGTGAAAAGACTGTAAACTTACCACCCAGCAGGCATTTCCCAGGTCAGCTATCTTCACTTTAAGCTTATCTGCATTCTTGGGCTCAAGAGGATTAAGAAGGAAATTCCCAGCAGTTGATTTTCCTAGAGGCAACATGTACAACAGCTGATTAAAGCTACATGGACAGTGTCACCATCTGTCACCCAAATCCTATCACCCTCTCCCTAGCCAGGAGGGCATTTTCTTATGGATCAGAACTTTTCCCACCTTGAAGCTTAGGTATAAAAATCAGCATCAGTCTGCAGTATTAACAACAGAGCTACCACTGTTAAGCCCCAAGTGGTATCACAAAGCAGAAGGACAAGTAAGCATATGCAAGAGTGCTATTTCCCAGCACTCTTTGCACAGCCTTAACAAGTCTGTCTATGTTTAAAAAAAACTGTTTAAATAAGGGCATTGCCAGAAACAAAACAAGCCCCACAACCCTGAGGTCTTCCTACATTTTTGGAGGAGAGTCTCTGTATTATTGCATCTATTTGAAATACCCGTCACTCACTGCTGCAACACAATTACCAGAGCTAAGGTACATACTAGGGAAACTGAATGATGCAGTGGAGAGCAAAAATGATATGCCACTAAATTAGACCCAGCTGTAGCTATGAAGCAATTTGGGAGATAGCTGTGAGAAGCAAAAGACACCTAGGAGCGTAGCAGAGGCATCCAGCTAAATGCAGTTCAAGTTTGAAAATCTCTAAATTTCACTTGCTACGTTGCCAAGAAAAGGCTACAAAACCTTTAACAAGCACAAATGTTAGTTTTGCCCTCCTTCTCTGAACAGATATACTTCACCTGACGTTGACACAAAGATGCAAAAATGGAGTTTTATCAATTCACAGTTTTAACACACACATCTGGAATGTGTTTAAACTGCTGTACACTATTGCATGCCTTATGTTCTAAACCTACAAGACATTTTTCCCCCCAAAACAAATCATATTTAAACGAAAGCATTGAAGAGATCTTTTTCC